TCTCTCTCTCTCTCTCTCTCTCTCTCTCTCTCTCTCTCTCTCTCTCTCGTGTGTGTATTCACATATATGATAGGCCAGAGAGGATTTTAGATATTTTGGAGCTGGGATGTACAGGTGATTGTGAGCCACCAGCCATGGGTGCTAGGAACCGATCTCTGGTTTTGTGAAAGAAGAGCATGCACTCGTAACAACAGAGCCATCTCTCCAGCTGAGGAGGGTGCATTCTAAAGAGAGAAATATCTTGCTCAGAGGATATAGGCACCCTTGTATTTTCTATTAACAAACTGTTTTCTAAAGTAGTTTAAATCAATTTAAAGTCCTACTAGTAGTGGATAGCAATATATATATATATATATACTCTGTCTGTTTATCTATCTATCTATCTATCTATCTATCTATCATCTATCTATCTATCTATCTATCTATCTATCATCTATCTATCTATCTATCTATCTATCATCTATCTATCTATCTACCTACCTACCTATCTGGTGCCAAAATTCTTCAAGGTTAATGTCTAATATCCTCTTAGTATGTGCCTAGTTTGCATATTGCATAAATTAATGGGAAAAGTGTCTGCCTTTAAGTTCTTCATATTTTGTGTGTTTTGTACTTGCACAATATAACATCAACCAGAGTAGGAAGTAGATGTGATAGCTAATTTTGGTTTAGAATCACCTAAGAGACAGACTATTATTGGACATGTCTTTGAGGACATTTCTGGAGACCTGTAGCTGAGGAAGGAAGACCCATCTGGAATACGGGTGACACCCTGCCATCCATGGGCTGAATTAAAAAGAAACGCAAGCTGAGTGTCAGGATTTATCTCTCTGCTCCTTGACTGTGGATGCCATGTGACCAGCTTCCTCATGCTTCTACATGCCATGCCTTCCTAACATGATAAACTGTGTCCTTGAACTGTGAGCCAAAACAAACTCTTCCTTCCCTGCTTCTTTATGTCAGGCATTTTGTCACAAGGATAAATGTAACTTCATATGACATCCTGTTCTGGGGTCACCCTATTGGATTCTGGTTTGTGTGTAGGTGCCAATACCCACTTCTCCATATTGATGTTACTGTAGATAAGGTAGACATAAAATCAATGGGTATGGCTAATAATTAAGGTTTTGATGTTTAGATCAGTTGTAACTACATCTGTAATTATAATAGCAGATCAGAGAATGGTTTCATGCTACAGATCATGGAAAGAGTAGGGTGCTCTTTAAATGCTTGAGTAGAATGCTCACACAGCAAGTTACCAGAGCAGACGGATGACCAAAGTGTTGATCTTGTCTTTCTGAGTCTGGCGTATTTCACTTGACACAGCGATGTTTCAGTTCAGGCACAATCATGTTCCTGTAAATGACATGTGTGGTGATTTGAACGCGAATGCCCTCTCTAGGCTCATGTGCTTGAATCCTAGGTCCCTAATCGGTAGAGCAGTTTTGGAAAGATTAGCAGGTATGGTCTTCTTGTTAGGAGTTATGTCGCTGAGAGTGCTCTTGGGGCTTCAAAGGTCTTCTGTGTGCATAGTGAACTCTCTGCCCTCTGCCTGCCTACCTTACCAACACCATGCTCACTGCCATGATGGTGATAGACACCTATCCCTCAGGAACCCTAAGCCCCCAAATAAAATTTTCCTTCTGTAATTTACCACAGTTATGGCATTTTGCCATAGCAATAGAAAAGTAACTGATACAATATTATTTCATTTTTCTTTATGGCTCTGTAAAATTCAATTGTGTGTAGGTACTACATATTCTTGTGTGGAATCTAGATATAAAATTACATCTATCTATTGTCTCTCTATCCAATTTTTTTCTATCTATCTACCTATCTATCTATTATCTATCTATCTATCTATTATCTATCTATCTATCTATCTATCTATCTATCATCTATCTATGTAGATATGTATATACCTATAAATGTATTTATGTATGTTTGTATGTATGTATCTATCTATTTAAAATTATATGTCTGCCTGTCTATCTATCTATCTATCTATCTATCTATCTATCTATCTATCTATCTATTCATCTCTCTCTACAATTGCACCTGCCTATGTGTATTTATGTTTGCATGTATCAGTCATGAAATCAGAAAGAAGACCATGAGAGAGATGATGAAGAGATCTTAAGGAAGATGGACCAAGGGAGAATAGTTGCGTACCCATGACATGAAAGCAGAAGTGGGGACATCCTGAGGAATTATGGGAACCAGAAAGAGAATTCAGAGAAAATGGGAGAGGGGGCTGAATTAGAACAAAGTGCAATGATGTATAAAATATCACCCTAAAACTCATTACTTTGTATGCTGACCTAAAACTAATTTTAAAAAGAATTACTTTTTGTGTGTACCTGGATATATGTCTGCATAGTTCCCTGCAGAATTCTTTCAGTGCTAGACCCTTTGCAAATTGCTTCGTTAGTCTTTGGAAACCTGGACGAGATATCATAAGAGAAAACATCTGGAAGGTGGAGAATAGACAGGCTGCTACACGTTCTATGTTCTGTTAGAGTCAGAATACTGTGCTGGCTGGTCTCTGTCGCTATGACAAAATTCTTCATCACATCAATCTAAAAGAAGATGGGTTAGGGGACATGGTTCAGTCAGTAACCTGCCTGCTTCACAAGCATGAAGAACTGACTCAATTTCCAGTAACCCCAGCCATGGAAGTCTACATTTCTAACATTCCTGCCTCTACCTCCCAAGTATTGTGTTAGAAGTGTGCACAAGGATGCTGCCCTAGGGTTTCTATTTCTGCGAAGAGACACCATGACCACGGCAACTCATGAAGGGAAAACATTTAGTTGGGCTGACTTACATGTTCAGAGGTTTAGTCCATTATCATCATGGTGCGACATGGTGGCCTGCAGCAGACATGGTGCTGGAGAAGGAGCTGAGAGTCCTACATCTTGACTAGCAGGCAACAGGAAGTCACCTGTCTGACTGGGCAATATCTTGAGCATGTATGAATCCCCAAAGCCCACCTCCACAGTGACACACTTCCTCCAACAAGACATCATCTATGCCACAAAATCACACCTCTTAATAGTGCCACTCCTTTTGGGGGACATTTTCTTTCAAACCACAACAAATGCCTTCTTTATGCAGTGCTGACATTAGAACCCCTGGCTTCACGTGTGCTAGGCAAGTGCTCTGCCAATGGAGTTGCGTCATCTCCCATTTTTATAACCAGGAAAAATCAGAGACATCACTGGACCCACTCAGCAATCATTGGGAAGAGACAGAAAATAGGATTCATGTTGTGGATGTTAACATTTCAAAACAGAATGCACAGCTGTGAGATTAAAACCAGTGCTGCATTTATCTCGTGGCACAGATGAGATTCTTTACCCAGACTTTCAATGATCAGGATTTTCTTATTATAAAAATAATGCACATTTTTCTATAGGAAATGTAGTCAGTCATTACTCTTGATTTTACTTTGTGTTTTGTCTTTTTTCCCCTGCATGTCTTGGGAGTTTGATGGAGAAGAAAGGGTCTAGAATTAATGTGTGGCTCAAGTCAATTATTTTTATGTACAGTAGTATCTAGAGAATGCGAAAGATTAGACCAGTGGTTCTCAAACTGTGAGTCACGATCCTTTGGACTTGAATGACCCTCTCACGGGGGTCACATATCAAAAATCCTATATTTACATTACAATTCATAATAGTAGCAAAATCACAGTTATAAAGTAGCAATGAAAGCAATTTTATGGCTGGGGCTCACTAGAGCATGAGGAACTGTATTAAAGGGTCATAGCATCAGAAAGGTTGAACATCACTGGAGTAGACACACTTATTCTAGATCAAGTAGAATGTGGTATCTCTCATTGTTCTATAAAAACCTGTGTGTACAAATATAGTCTTCTTCACTTTTATCTTCATGTGTGTACAATGCATGTGTATGTGTGTGTGTGTGCATGTGCATGCATATTGGCACATATGGACGTGTGGAGGTGAGAGGTAATCTCTCAAGTGAGTTCTCACTTGAGACAGGATCACCTGTTGCTACCTTCTGTGTAAACTGGATTGGCTGGTACAGGGAACTTTTTTTTTTGTATCGCATGTATTTATTAAATTGTCAAATCATCATCTGAGAATGATCTTGTCTCTGTCTTTGCAAAAAGTCTGGAATTCCAAATGTTTACTATCTTATTCAGATTTTCTTGGGTTTTGGAAATCCAAATTCAGGTCCTCTGCCTCACACAGAAGCCCTCTTCTAGCATATGAATCCAGAAAGTCAAAAGGTGTTTTTGTAGCTCTACTGGGGAACATTTCCACAGAATCCTACAGATAACAGATGGTTGCACTCCATCACATAGATATGAACTAGCAACCCATTCCCATTTCTTTAAAAAGTGCCCCAATAGCCCTTTTGTGCTTTTTATGGAGAAAGATATGAGGATGTTTCTTGCCCAAATTCCCTTATTTTAAGCTGGTGAATTGAGCGTAGAAACTTTTCTGAATTGTCTACGTGAACTTGTTCTCATTAATTGATCACTTAAGTTGGTAATGTTGTTTGAGCAACAATAGCCTAGAAGTCCAACACACTGCAGAGAGATGCCTCTTAACATACTAGAGACCAAAGGTATTACACTGCTTGTCAGGTGTAAGTGTGTACTAGTTAATGGTGTTGTGAGCCCTTGTGATATTCAAAGCAAACACATTTACTTAAAGTACCTCATTTAACCTCCACTATAAGCCTCTTGAGCCAAGTGCTATTCTCCTTTTGTAGATGAGTAAATAGAATTCAAGATATGAGCTCATTCTTTCCGAGTCTCTGAAAATTCAAGCAGCAGATCCAGCTCTGAAACCCAGCTCAACAGCTTTGTTCTTTACTATTTCTGCAATAAGTGGCTCTTCTAGGTGCAGCCTGGAATGCCGTCTTGTCTTTGGTAGCAGGCTTTTCATGTCATATAGCATACCTTCTTTATGTGTGTGGTGTGCATGGGTGTGTATGTGTGTATATGAGTGCTCTTGCCTGTGAAGACACCTGTAAGGACACCTATTGAGGGCATCTATAAGGACACCTGTAAGGACACCTATAAGGATACTTGTGAGGACATCTGTGAGGACACTCGTAAGGACACCTGTGAGGACACTTATAAGGACACCTGTGATGACACCCATAAGGACACCTGTGAGGACACTTGTGATGACACCTATAAGGACACCTGTGAGAACACCTGTGAGCCCACCTGTAAGAACACCTGTGAGGACACTTGTGATGACACCTATAAGGACACCTGTGAGAACACTTATGAGGACACCTGTGATGACCCCTGTAAGGACACCTGTGAGGACACCCGTAAGAACACCTGCGAGGACACCTATAAGGAAGAGACACCTGTGAGGACACCTGTGGATGTTGAGACTGACATAAGGAGTTCTTCCTCCATCTCTTCCCCAGCTTACTTTTTGAGACAGGGTTTCTCACTGATCTTGAAGCTCACCATTGGCTAGAATGATTGGCCAGTGAGTTTCAGGGATCCTCCTATCTCTGCCTCTCAGGATTGGTGTGCACTTCTACGTCTGTCTTTTTACATGGATTTTGAGGATTTGAACTCGGGTCCTCCTGCTTGCATAATAAACACTTTACCCACTGAGCCATTTCCACAGACCTACAACAGCACATTTTAATCTTGAAAAAAAGTTCCTCTCCGCTGAGATACTGAGGTTGTGATAAGTGCAGGTGCTGAGAGGAGTAATTTGAGTGCTGGAGCTACAGACAGGTGCCACCATGCCCGACTACCAGCTTTATTTCTGTCTGTCTCCTGCAAGGTAATGTCATATCTATCAGATGCTCATTCCTGAGCTACAAACCCAATCAAAACACTATCGCTAATGGCATAGGCAACAACTATCTTCACATCTACAACCAAACGGTAAAGTAAATATCTTAGCTGAATTCTGACGCTTTCACTGACAGCCACAGAATGTGTATTTAAAAAAAAAAACTGTGCAGTTCATGGTTCTGGAAGCTAAGAGGTCAAAGTATATGGTATCTAGGGAGGGTCTTCTTGTGACACCATATGGCAAGATAGCAGAAGCATGCTGCTGCTCAGTGCTCCGCTTTTGTTAGGAAATCAGCACTGTCATCAGGGGAACTGCACCCTCACAACCTCATGAGGTCATCTAATGGCCCCATCTCATCCTAATCTCCTTCCAAAAGCCCCACCCCCAACAGCCATCAATACATAAATGTAGAGGTTGTTTTCAACACATGGGTTTTGGGAGCACACGCTTCAACTCTAGCAGGAAATGGTTGCTGCTATTATCTTGGATCATAATTAAGAACAAAGATAACACAACTGGTGACCAAGATGAGACTCAGTCCCATACCATCTGTCTGTTCATATGACACATTAAAGCCAGTTTCTTATAGCACAGAGGGCTGGATGGAAGAAATTAGCGTCTCAAAGTCTAAAGGGTGCCATTAAGATGGCTCAGCAGGTCAAGGCGCTTACTGCCAAGTTTAAAGGCCTGAGTTCAACCTTGGAACCCACATGGAGTAGGGAACTGAGTTTGGACAGTTGTCCTCTGTGTTCCACATATATGAACACACACACACACACGATAAATCTAAAAAAAATATGGAAGGGCCAGGATGTGGGTTATTGTGTAGACTACTTGCCCAGCATGCATGAAGCCCTGGGTTCTATCCTCAGCACTGCATAAAAACCAAGCATGATGGTGCACACCCACAGTCTCAGCAATAGGGAGGTTGGGACAGGAGGATCAGAAGTTGAAGGTCACCTGTAGCTGTATAGTGAATCTGAGTCTGGCACAGATTACATGAGAGTTTGTCTTTAAACGAGACAAAACTAGAAAAAAAGCTACACTTCGTTCATGTCTCTGCATAAGCCAAAGCAGTGTGTAGAAGACAAAATAGTCTGTTATAGGATTATGTTATAATCAAGCCAGATGCCCAGATGCAGGCATTTAAATTATTACACAGTTTGCTCTATTGATAAGAATACTGTAATGAACACTTTCATGTAAAACCTTCTTCATCTCTACCACTTCTATTTCTTTAAGGTACTATTTCCAAAACTATAATGTAGGGGCATGTTTAGCCTGTCATCATGATTGTGATTGGGCTCCAACTCACAGTGATCCTCCTGTTTCAGCCTCACAGGTACTGAGATCACAGCCATGCATAATCAAATATAACTCTGTGTGTATTTTAAACGCCACAGCAATTTCTGAGAAGATTAAACAAGTGGCAATCCATACTGGAAAAAAATATACAATTATACATTGTTTTATATTTTAGCCACAATTTTTATCATTCTTGTATCTATGCTAATTTCATTGGGAAAAATATATAGCTTCGTATTACTATGTTCATGCTGTCCATGGGGCTCTATGCTGTTTCCAAAATTTACTAGTCTGTTTTGGTGATTGATTTGCCCTAGGAAGGCATTTAAATATTAAATATGTTCATCATTTATTATATTGGTTTTAATATTTTTTTGTGGTTCTGGATATGGAACCCAAGGCTCTATGTGTAGTAGGCAACCCATTTATTACAGAGACACATTCCCAGTCTCTCACTGGAGGATTTTAGTCAGGTGATCTACCACTGAGCCATACCACACATTCTCACTGGGGGATTCCAGACAGGTGTTCTACCGCTGAGTCACACCCCAGAACCTTGCGAGGGGGGATTCTAGGTAGGGGCTCTGTCATCAAGTTACACCCCAGCCCCTCACTGGGGGATTCTAGGCAGGTGCTCTACCACTGAGCCACACCCCAGCCCCTCACTGGGGGATTCTAGGCAGGTGCTCTACCACTGAGCCTCACCCCAGCCCC